AGCTGTCTTTCCTAAGACAGGGACACATGGGCCTGGTTATCCCTCTTGTCACATATGGAATGGTAGGAGATGGAAGAGGGAGAAAGGGCAATCTCAGGAGAGCTCAGGCACAGAGGTAAATGGTGTTAGCTGTCTGAGCCACTGCCCCTCCCCCCCCCCACAGAGGGGCACCTGAGCCCAGCCTAACCACCCCCTACATGCCCCCCTCACCTTGCAATCCTTTCAAATGGTCCAAACCCTTTTCCTATAACACTGACCAATGACAGGGTCATTCCCCAATATAGGCAATACCCACATTCCCACTGGGAAAGGGGGACGAAGACTCGACCCCCACAGGGTATAGGAGAGAAAGGCAGGAAAAGCAAGAGCCCTAGGGGGTCTGAGGAGCAGGTGTGTTGTCCAGGGAAAAGAAATTTGGCCAGTCAGGAACTGTAAAACACACCAATCTAAAACCAAAACCAGATCTCCCTGCCTCTTCCGCGGGAACAAAAAACGTCCTGCCAGATTTCTCCTGGGAAAAAAAGACCTGTTCCCCTCCCATCTCCTCCCCCAGCCAGGTCCCAGGTTTCCCATCTCCTAGGAAAAGATGGATCTCCCTGTTGAAATCCTCCCTGTGGTGTGTGTGGGTGGAGGAGCTGGGCTCTGCTAGTGGACCATGGTCCAGGCAGGGGCTCCACGTTCAGTGCGGGTGGGAGGAGAAGGCGTCACTTCCGGGGGCCTTTGGCCTTCTCTGGTATCTGGTGGCTCCCTGCTCTCTGATTGGACAGAAGTGTCCGGGGCAGGCTTGTGACCCTACTGCTGTGGAGGGGCTGTGCCCCAACACTACGTGTCTTCCTACCCATCGGCTCCCCAGAGTGCTGCCTGCTGTGCACCTGGGTCCTGGAGCCCTTCTCCACCTGGTGAGTGGCAAGCAGAGTTTGGAATTAATCGAGAGTAGGAAGGACAGGAAAGAGAATTGGGCTCTCAGCTGGGGGAGGGGCAGGCAAACTGGAACCTACAGGCACTGACCTTTGTCGAGAAGAGTGTAGCCTTCCCAGAATGGGAGGAGCAGGACGGAGCAGGGGTAGGGGGTGGGGTGCTGGGTTCTGAGGGACTGATCACAGACTTGGAAGAATATAGCACTGTTCTGGCTGGCCCTAAGGAAAGGGGACATGTGCCCAGGGAGAAGATAAGAAAGGTGGTGCGTTTAGGGCTTAGGGCATGTAGCATCAAACTGGACACGGGCCCAATCTCCATTCTTACCCAGTCGTTCCTGGTTAGTTTAAGTCTCTGAATCTTGGGACTGGGGAAGCTGGGCCTAAGGAGAGGGTAGTGGGAGGAGGGCTCATGCATGTTGACAGACCTACAGGAAATCCCAATATTGAATCAGGTGCAGGCCTCTTTGCACAACTTGTCAAAGAAGGAGGAGGCCATGTGGGGGGTCCTGTGAAGGAACTAGAAGGGGTCTGCAAAGGGGGCAGGGAGGAAGATGTGGGCTAGGGGATGGTTATGGTGACACCGGTGTCCAAGGAGAGGTAAGCCATGAGAGCTGGGTGTCTCACTCAGCAGGTGCCCATTGCTGGGCAACTTTACCGCAGGTGGGAAGTGCCAGGACTGTTAGCCACTTTCTCCGCCTCAGATAACCCAGTATTTTAGAACTGGGAGTGTAAAGAAAAACTTCAAGAGGCTTATGGGTGGGAGTAAATGGAGAGAGAACTAGCAGTTAATTGCTCCCATACCACCTTCTCATAATCTTGCAAGCACCAACCCCTAGTAGTCCTTTTTGTTTTCCCCCAAGTCCCCTCCTCAGCCCCACTCCCCCAGCTACCCCTCAATGCTTTGCATGTTTGCTAGCTCCTCATCCTGACCTTATGTCCCACTTTCGAACCTCTCCTCCAGGCTTATGCCACAATACTCCTGGTTCCCTCTCCCCATCCCAGATTTTCTCCAACCAACTACGGTTGCTCAGAATTTGAGGCCAATTACAACGTGTGTGTGTGTGTGTGTGTGTGTCCATATTCTGTCCTGCTGCTCTCAGCAGGGCCAGGGGCAGCAGCCCTACGTCAGGTCCACTAAGGAACCCTGACAAAGAGGAGACACCATACCCTGTAATCGCAAGGAGACCTGGGAGCAGGCAGAGCGTTAGCAGTTTGAGGCTGGTCCGCATCTCATGCCCTCCCAGCAGCTGTTCCCCCAGCCAGGCAGTCTTTTCCTTGACACCTGATTAAATGTTCATTATTCCTGGCACTTGCAGGATAGATTCCAGACCCTCTTCCTCAGCCCACCTGTGCCCCACCGTGCAAGAAGTGCCAGAGCCCAAGCCGCCTCCATGGCCCCAGGAAGGATTCAGGGGAGAGGCCCCATCCAGGGAGCCACTCCTACCAGACAGCCTGGCCAGAATGGAGCTGACTGGTAAGAAAACTCCTGCGGGATCTCAGGCCAAATCAAAGCAGGGTTAACGAGAGAAGAGAAGGGAGATGTGCTGCCAGGGTGGAGGGCTGCGGGAACCCAATCCACCAGGATTAAGGCTTCTGAAAGGTAAATTCCCTGGATTTCAGGTCTGGGTCCTAATTGGGAATTTCTGGACTACCACCTGACAATGATTTCTTCCTTATCCACCCTTTCAACCTCACTTCTTCTCATCTCAGAACTGCTCCTCGTGGTCATGCTTCTCCTAACTGCAAGACTGGATCTGTGCCTCCCGGCTCCTCCCGCCTGTGACCCCCGTCTCCTAAATAAACTGCTTCGTGACTCCCATGCCCTTCACAGCAGACTGGTGAGACTCTCCCAGCACTCTCCCCTCTATCCATTACCTGGGTAGACACCCTCACTCCCATCACTCCCTCCCACTCCCTGATCTGATCACTGTTCTTCCCATATTGTCCTTGGTAAGACCACCACCTCCCAATCACCACTGCTTGACAAAGATGACGATTTGCAATCTAGTCTACTTTTAAAAGCTCTGGTCTGGATATCTATTACTCATGGAAACCTATCCTAGTCACTGGGTCACCACACCCCCCCCTCCTTTATTTGAGCTTCTCCACCCTACCCCACCACCAATCTTTTTCAATAGAGCCAGTGTCCAGACGTTAACCCTTTGTCCACACCTGTCCTGCTGCCTGCTGTGGACTTTAGCTTGGGAGAATGGAAAACCCAGAAGGTAAGAAAGCCATCCTTCCTCTGATTTCCCTAACTCCTGTTTTCATCGGTTTTCTACTGCTTCCCACGATTTCTTCAAAATCCCTGAGCTCCCTAAAAATCTCTCACCTTTGGCGTGGACACCTTAAACTAATCTACATTCGACTGTGATGATATCCTCTGGATGATGGCTTGCGGTCCCAGTATGTGAAAGTAGATTCAAAGCTGAGCACCCAGAAAAGCTGCATAGAAGTCTCTCATGGTGGGGCGCCTGGGTGGCTCAGTGGGTTAAGCCTCTGCCTTCAGCTCAGGTCACGATCTCAGGGTCCTGGGATAGAGCCCCGCATCGGGCTCTCTGCTTGGCTGGGAACCTGCTTCCCCCCGCCTCTCTGCCTAGTTGTGATCTCTTTCTCTTTTAAAAAAATTAAAAAAAAACTTTAAAAAAAAAAAAAAAAAAAAAAAAAAAAAGAAGAAGAAGTCTCTCATGGCCATATTTTTGACCTGTTCCTGTGCAAACTTAAGCTGCCATGAAGAAGTAAGACTGGTCTGTCATCCTCAGATGACATAAAACTGGGAAGCAGAGGTAAAATAACAAGAGACAGAATCAAGTTTCACATTGCTGAAAGGCTAGATCAAAAACAAGGTAAAATTTAGCAGAGATATACAAAAAATTCCACATTTACTCAAAGTAATCAAAGAAGGTCCTATTCCAGCTTCCAGGCCATGATGCCCCCACTTCCCCTTATATAAACTTCTGGCCCTAGAACTTACTATGAACAAGATCTGGGAGGAATGAGCTAAGCTCAGACTTAGCAGGTAACACTATTAAAGCAGCTGTTTGAAAAGCTAGTGATTCTCGGTGGCTTTAGGTGTTTAGCACCCACCCTGTGGAAATATTCCTAAAAACCTTTAAGTGGCCTGGACTTAACAGTAAGTTGAGTACTGGATATCCTCCTCTAGACACATGCTAATTTATTCAGAGGGACCATATGAAACTAGCATGTGTCCAGAAGGAAGAAGCAACCTGAACACAGAGAGGTTAGAAAACATGTTATGTGAGGAATGGCTTAAAAAAAAAAAAAAAAAAAGCAAAGCCTGTCTGATGAGTTTGGAGAAAAGTGGTAAGTCTTGTGCTATAGCTGGACCTGCTTTAGTCTGGGGCTCAGGAAACCTCCTGGGAGGGAGCACTCCTTGCAAAGTGAGCTCTTCTACCCTCAAGATCCCTAGAATCCCCTTTCTTTCCTCTCAGGTCTTCTGGGGGTGGGGGCAGGTACTGGGCCAGGGACAAAGGGCGTTCCTAGGGATCCCTTGCAGTTCCAGCTCTGCCATTGATCAGTAAACCCCTTTCCTTTATCTTTATGATCTTTGTGATGGTCTCATCTCTACGTTCAGTTTTTAAAAAATCATATGATCCTAGGATTTTGTAGCAGAAAGAGTAGACTGGCAGCGCTAGAACCGAGAGGCTAAAAACTGTAATAGCACAGATTCCAACATAGTGTAAGGGGGAAAAAGAGCTTTTCTGACTGAAATTAAATGTAGGGCCAGGCTGGGTTACCAGACACTGGAGTTATTCAAGCAGGGGCTGATGACCAATTGTCGGGAGACTGTAAAGGAATTCCTGTGCTGGGTGGGACCTTGGTCCTGTCCAATTCTCAGCTCCTATGATTCATTCCGCTGGCTACTCCTACAGGCTCCCCACCCACTATTAGCATGCCCTTTGAAGCAGGCCGCGTCTCCCTTCCGTCTCTTTTGCAGGAGCAGACCAAGGCACAGGACGTTCTGGGAGCCGCAGCCCTTCTGCTGGAGGGAGTAATGGCAGCACGGACCCAACTGGGACCCACCTGCCTCTCATCCCTCCTGGGACAGCTTTCTGGACAGGTCCGCCTCCTCCTTGGGGCCCTGCAGGGCCTCCTTGGAACCCAGGTAAGTAAGTCCTGTGTCAAGGGGACTACAGAAACTGTCCTTTGCTGACTCCATCCTTTTAGGAGACCTGAGGGCAGAAAGGTGAATTCTGGGAATCATGAGGGTAGCACAGCTAGCCAACTAAGGAGTGCTCGCTTCCAGCCATAAAGTCTGGGTGCTGGCACCTTATCTTTCCCTGGAGACAAGGGAGGCATGATACCTGGCCCAGGTCTCTGGCCTCAGGCCCATCCTCTGCCCTCAGCTTCCTCCACAGGGCAGGACCACAACTCACAAGGATCCCAATGCCATATTCCTGACCTTCCAACAACTGCTCCGAGGAAAGGTGCGCTTCCTGTTGCTTGTAGTAGGGCCCACCCTCTGTGCCAAGCAGGCCCTATCCACGACAGCTGTCCCAAGCAATACCTCTCTATTCCTCACACTGTACAAGCTCCCAAACAGGACTTCTGGACTGTTGGAGACAAACTCCAGTGTCTCCGCCAGAACTACTGGCTCTGGACTTCTGAAGAGGCTGCAGGGATTCAGAGCCAAGATTCCTGGTCTGCTGAACCAGACCTCCAGGTCCCTAGACCAAATACCTGGACACCTAAACAGGACACACGGACCCTTGATTGGAACTCATGGACTCTTTCCTGGACCCTTACCTACAGCCCTAGGAGCCCCAGATATCCCTCTGGCAACTTCAGGCATGGACTCCCTGCCCCCCCGACCTCTGGCCTGGATATTCTCCTTCCCCAGCCCATCCTCC